CATAATTATTGATCTACAGCACGACAACCCTGTCGCAATAGTCACCAAATCACAAGTATTTAGACATACAAACCAGCTGATTGCTTAGGAGTAGTACAACATATGTTTTAGTACAACATATGCTATTGTTGTATTGTGGAATTATTCACTTTTCGTTCAATAACACTCTGAATATAGCTGAAATGTGTACTGGTTGTAAGATCAGAATATTAATAGTTAAACACTAACCAGTTCATTTCTGCAAACCTGGAAAATAGTTCTCTTATTTTACACGATCACTTAATAAATACATTTACAAGATAAACTTTGTTGGGTAATTTTATCTTGTTGCAAATACGAACAACGCTGCAAATACGTTTGAGAATGAAAACATCAACACTTAAATAAATTAATAATTGAGGATAGTGGCCTGCGTTATCCTCGGACCTGTGACTAAATCGTATCCATTATAGCAGGGGGAGAGCCGGTACAATAGGAGAGTAAACTATACCAGGACGCGAACTCACGACATCGCTGCCTCTGTTACTCAATCCATCGCGCTTCGACTCACCTAATTTGTAAGAAGATTTGTATTGTTTAACCTCCATTGACTATGCAGAGTGATTGCTATAAGTGTGCCAGCTGTTTTATTCGGAATTTATAAGAGATATTAAAAAAATTTTAAATTGTAACTGCCTTGGAATTCCGGTCAAATTGAAAACATAATTTTAGCCGCCATTTTTCCAATATGACCAACTTAGATTTTTCTTACGAAAGACCCTATATTTTATGGTATGTTTAGAAAGTAAATATAATTTTTAAACGTTTTTATTCTTGGCATTCTTTCTTTAGAGCTTCTCATTTAGGAGTTACAGCGTGTTAAAACTAATAAAAAATTACTTTCAGTGTACATTCTGCACCAAGTAGCTCCTATACGAGTAAGTGTAGAGAGAAATTAATGATAGGAGTAAATAATTCTTAAAATTGCATCTAAATTCTAAAAATACCATTAAAACATAAACATTTTGTTTCCATTATTTCAAAAATGGCCACCATTTTCCAAAATGGCAGAACATTTTTCAAATAAGAAAACTATGTATTTTATGTGATTTTTAGAATGTAGATGCAATTTTAAAAATTATTTACTCCTAGCTTTTTCTCTCCTCACTTGCTCGTATACTCCTCTACTTGGTGCAGAATGTACACTGAAAGTCTTTTTTTATTAGTTTGAACTCCTAAGCTTTAGAGAAAACATGCCAAGAATAAAACTTTTAAAATGATATTTACTTTCTAAAAAAAAAATCATAAAATATAGGGTCTTCCATAAGAAAAATCAAAGTTGGCGGCCATATTGGAAAAATGGCGGCTAAAATTATTTTTTCAACTTGACTACAATTAAAAAAATAAAAAGTCCAAGGCAGTTACAATTAAACAATTTTTATTATCTCTTATAACTTTCAAATAAAACAGCTGGCACACTTATCAATCATCCTGTATAGACCTTCTGGCATGTTTCGTTGGGTAAAGAAAAATACGTAGCGTTACGGTAAAAGTGACTTGCAAATTATTAGCGACCTCAGTCACCAGGTGATGCAAGCAGTTGTTCTTGAACTAGCATTGTATGTTGTAAAATCCCAAGATGATATCATGTTCGGCAAACCGCATGTAAAACCAAAGAACATATAACAATACCGAACAATAAATCATCCCCTATACATAGTAGGGAGAAAGTATTGTTTTTGTCAATATTTTGTGTGGATATATCCGTGTTGGGCCACCTTGAACCCCAAAAAGTTCCCTTCGAAGTGATTTTCCCTTAAAATAACGAAAATTAGAATTTCACAAAGACGTCCCGGACAAAAAAAAAACCCCACTGCCTTGCTGTAAAAATGGTTGTTCCAAATTTGTTGCAACTTCGTGATTTTCCCCATTAAATATCATTTTACTTCCATCGCTTACCCATGGTAGTTTGCGGAGGGTGGTTCACTCATAGATAATGAGTATCCAGTAGTTAGTTCTTTACTTAAGTACTAAAGTGCTCCGGTGTTATGATTACGAGAGTAGTGGAATCGGTTATAGCTTCACACTTAGCCGGGGAAAGATACTATCATGTCCCTTCATTAACAAGTTGTGTTGAAATCCTCTCCTTTCGGTGTATTTAATGGAAGCTGTCAACCATAGGTTATAGCGAGTTTACCCTCCTACTACATTGTCTATTTATTGTATACATAAGTTCGATAGTTCATGCCTCTTATAAATAAATGATCTGACCACTAAAAATATATTTACATTAACTGGTAAGCTTATGGATCGTCGACTACTCCATCTAAATCATTACGAGATTTTTTCAATAATAAATTGGCCTAGTTCAAGTTAGTATCACCATTGTCAATAGTACCTCCATCAGGGATAACAATTATGTTTATTTTGGAAACGGTTGGATGCAATAATTTAAAACTGCAAATCAACCTGAACTCCAAATATACCTTTAATCAATAGATCTTAGCAACTCGAATGGTGATAAATTTGAATAGCTCGGTATTATAATTCATAGAGGCCCGAGGTATATTTTACGGAACAATTTGCAGAAGTAGTATTCTTGAAGTGTTTCAGCATTTTATACCAAAAGAAGAGGCATCTTCAGACGAGATAAGATCTAAGATCGAGGTCCTGACAAGATCAGACGAGGTCTTGGTACAAAGACCACAATCAATCAAAATCTTCGAGATGCTTGTACAGCTCACCAACAATATGTTTGATAAAAAGTTGATTATCAAATTTTAAAGTTTAAACTAGAATAGTGTTTGAACGTACCGGAACCCTTACACATTAGTATTTCTACAATATACAAAGTATGCTATAACAATTTAACATAATCATTCCAAATTTTTGCCCCCATCTTAATCTTTCGTCCAAATTAGAAATTGACTGTGCGCAAAAATAAAAAAAAATTAAAATAATAGAAGATTCATTAGCAAATAACAGACAAATATAGGTAAAAAACTGGATTTCTACCGAGGATGATTAATATGCCTTCTGTAGGTTTGCAATTGCGGTATAGGTAAAGAAATCTGCTATCTATTCTTTTGCTCTATCTTTCATGACCACCATACTTCCTTGAAAACCCCCGTCTCAAACCCTTAGTGGCCACTTAAAGATTATTAAAACCACTTTGGATTTTGGATTTTTGCTGTCTTGAGGAGTCCAACTCAGTATCAAACATGTTTCTTTGCCTAATGTTTTAGGAATGGACCATACCCCCCCCCCTTTTTGGGAAAAAGAATAGTTTGACACAATCTTCTTTCATTGAAACGCCTTGAGAATGTAACTTTTATGTACCGAATCCACCCATTTAACGCATTGAAAATTGAATAGTACTCTGCCAGATTGACTTATCAGACTATAGTGTTTGCAGAATATATAATTTAACATTTCATATGAAACTAAAACCTTTGTAGACTATTTATACAAGATTTTCAAGATACACTTCACATATTACATATTATCCTATCGTATTATTGTACAAAAAGAAACCCAAAGGTTCCCTAATTATAAGCCCAAAATAAATGAGAAATTAGTAAATTTTCTAATTAACTAGAAAGTTGCGAGGAGTCGAAATTCATTTTTCTAGCACACAAATATTTGATACTCCTAATATAGTAATTATCTTCAAATGTTTGATATCCACACTATCTCGTATACAAGAGAGGACTTAAAACTGGACTTAATTTAATAAAAAATTGAATACCGCAAACCCAATGTCTGTGTAAGCCCATTACACAATGTAACGGATGCTGCTGATGTATAGTTTAAAATATTCAAGTTGCGGTTTTCTTCCACAAACTGGTTTAGCCAAAGTGCATTTCAAACAACATTTATGAATTTTACCTGAATAATGCAATGTTCCATGGCTGCATTTGAATAGAAGAAATGCATGGAAAATAAGTTTTAAGCTGATAACAGAATCGTATTCACAGGGTGTCCAAAAGGTCCTGAGACGATTTAATGTTTGTTTTATGTTGACGATAGAGCTACATACATAGCACTTGTAGTTAAAACTTTGCTCCTCCAAAGTGAATATTTTGGGGACAAAATATTCAGCTGGCAATACTAGGCCGTTAACGAGAACTTTTAGGATCCCGAGTTTTTCGCTAGAAAGTCATTAACTAGTAACAGTAAAAGAAAAGTCACCAGAGGATGTAGAGTTGAATATAATAGGGCTAGATTGTTTTAATTTGATATATATTTACATATCATTCATATAAGCTGCTTATCTTCATATATGCTGTATACATGGTACCTTTTTTTTTAAATAACGACAATGTCTAACGAGTTCTATTTTATCGTGCATGTTTAAGAAGTGGGTCTTATGTGAAAGCTTTGAGAAACATATGAGATTTCACAGCGATGTTTATTTTTTAGTTAATGCTCGGAAAAATCCAAAAGATAATAAGTATTTTACTAATCTATAAGTAAATTTTAAATAATTTGCACATCTTCTTCGAAACAAAAAAAGACCCAAGTAAAAAGATAGACACAATAATGGAAAAGCAACAAAAAGACGGTCTTGTAAACCGCTTCCAGCCTTTTTGTGTCTCTTATACGAGTGAGTTCAATGTATTTTTAATTGTGATAAGTATTTTCAATTCCTTGATGCTATCTCTTTGCTCAGTGGTAGGTTTTTTGGTGAACACTTGATTGGGTAAGTAAGTCCGTAAAATAACTTTTAACAAGTACTAGATTCTTTCTCATATGATATTGGTGAATATGGGAGTATCGTCTCAACATGGATTATTTTGAGATTGATATTCACAAGGTAGTTTATAAAGTGGAACCAAGTGTTCAAGAGCTCAAACACATAAAATGTTACCAAAGCTCATGTTAGAAAAGTTTTCTCACTAGAGCAATGAGCACATCCAAGACCTTTCCTACAAAACATTGGGTTGACAAATAAGAGAAAACATATAACTCCAAGATCTCAGATATTGATTGATTTATAATTTCATTCCATTCTTTTTCAGGTCACCCAATAAAAAGCAAGATCGAAACATACAACTGTTTGTTGGCGCGACAACTGTGCTTTGAAGACCCGTCCTGCTCGCCGATTTTGGAAACAATTCCGAGAGTTTGTGGTGCTGAGTTTGGTAAGATTTTTTTGCTGAGTCATTAATCATTTTAAAATATACCACGAGATAATTGAGATAATTAGTCAATATATTGCACGTGTCCGTACGTAAAATAAAACTTAAAAAATTATAAGTTATGTAAATATTATAACCAGAGTGAGTAGAAAACAAACCATTCGAGGCTTTTTGAAGGGTCTATCAATCGGGTAATTTTCTTAATAAGCAGTTTTAACACTAAGATATGTGAATATAATATCATTCAATAAATTTAATCATATTTCCCAAGACATTTCTTACCTGCTATGTTAAAAAATATAATAAGACCCGTGTCACCAATCTTATCCGGAGACTATACAGTTGGAACACTAGTCATTCAAGGGGAGAAACTGTCATCACGTTTAGGGTTAAGTGTTCTCTAGCAATCATATTCCAATGAAATAACAGAAACCAAACTTAAGTCAGTTGCAGAGGTTTTGTGTGGCACATATTGTATATACCTTCCAGAATATTTCACAAAAACGGGTTGATTTAAAAACGTTTTTTTACTGAACTAAACTCTTACATAATGCTGATTTAGTTTATAGTACCGGCATGATAAAAGTTTAAATAAAGTAAAATGTATAAATCTGAACTTTACCAACAAGTAGTTGAATAGGGTAATGTTCTTATAACTAAACGTTTTGTGATATACATTGGAGTTGAGTAAGTGATTTGTATGTTCAATGTTATAAGCTTTATAAAGGATAACTGTGTATGACATAAAAAGGGTTGACAGATATTGAATGGCTGTAAATTGATAAAAAAATTAGAACTTAATGAAAGTTTACCTATAAACTTTCAGTTCACCAGGTCTTGGCAAATTTTATTGAAATCAAAGGCATCCTTCAGTAAAATTTTACTATAAGTTTTAACACTAATACATCTAATATATAAAATTCTCGTGTCACAGTGTTTGTCTGCAAACTCCTCCGGAACGACTTCACCGATCGTAATGAAATTTGGTGTGTAAATTCTGTAGGTATGCGAATCGGACGTAAACTATTTCCCGTTTCGAAATTCTTAAAAGGGCTCCGCCCCAGTGGCTCTGGAGTTTCCCATGTTAACCTTATGAGAAATGGAATTAATGAATCTTAACAGCTGTTTCAATTAAACAAGTTGGTTCTGTTCTATGATGTTCAATAGCATTAAAGTTACAAGGATTACCAACAGGGTGCAGCACTATTATTTCTTTTACATTTATGACAACAGCTAATTTGCAACCAAAAGGTGAGTGAGCGTAGCGAACGAACTTCAACCTGGAGGCGAGTGAGCGTAGCGAACGAGCTAACCTGGAGGCGAGTTAGCGTAGCGAACGAGCTCCAACCTAAAGGCAAGTGAGCGCAGCGAACGAGCTCCAACCCAAAGGTGAGTGAGCGTAGCGAACGAACTTCAACCAGGACGTGATTGAGCGATGCGAACGAGATCATCTTGAAAATTAAACGTAACGGTACTTTCTTTCCATCGGTCTGTCTTAGGGGAAACCTAAACTTAGGCGATACGAAGTTCGCCGGGTCAGCTAGTTTATTTATATAATTTGTTGTTTTGGGACAAGAAGACACATGTAATTACCAGCAATTGATGTTTAAACATTAAATTTGTCTGTGTTCCTATATAGATGTGTACTGGTACTAACTTAGGTTTGGGAACTATTTTGGGTTATTTATAAAGCACATTCAGAGTTCCAATCGCGAGACCCACTTTCAATAATAGTAACTGAGCATAATTGTTATCGGCTATCGCACGGACAATATAAGTCTGTAGTAGTTAGGCCTGCGTGTACGACGGACCCGGTCCAGTCCAGCTCTTGGCGAAAACCTGATTTGACGCATATCGATCGCCCGCTACCTTTGCTCTTTGCCTCTTTCCCTCACTTCACTTTGTCCAACATATTTTTAACTAAACTCTATTGGTTCACCTTCTGTTGTTTCGCTGACGATAATTATTTTCTGGTTCACTGAACGATTTGTTTGGTCTCAAATTGAAATAACATTGTGGGCGTGGATGTTATTCGTTTTGTTACTTGATTATTTTTTGTTATTCTTGAATTTTTAATAACTAACGTGATGTAAATCATAGTTCATGTATATCATCGCAGGTGTCGCTAATAGCTTACATTACGATTCGTTATTTTTCTGTTACACTGAACGATTTATAATTTGGTTGAAAATAAAAATAACGTTGTATGCGCACTTTTTCTACGTTATTCTTTTTGCAATAAATGTATATTTTGATCATTCTTGAAAATAACGAAACTCAAGTTTATCAAAATAATATTTTATATTTATCAGGGGCTGAACAATGGATTTTTTAAAAATATCAGGCTCCGTTAAGCAAACAAAAAGTATTGTGTGGTTCCTTACTTTTATAGATATTGAATAAATATTTGTGAATAAAATAATGAAGATATAAATAATACGGAGGCAATCAACCTAAAAAATAGTCAAAAGTAATAGATTTTCCGTTTAACTTTTATTGAATTGTCACAACATTATTGCTAAACAATAACATGTTATACAAATACGAAAATAGGTACTGTAAATATTTTGGCCGATAATAGTAGGGTAATTATAGGGATTGTATCGCATCAGCTGATCTGACCATATGGAAATAATTGCTTTAAAAAGGCGGAAATGACGTAGAGTTGGGTTTTATGCGGGTGTTTCCGGTGGTACGTCACTTGTGACGTATGTGGGTAGTGACGTAGGTTGTTGAGGTAATTTGTGTGTGTTAAAAAGAATAGGAGGGATGGTTTAGTTATAGCGGATTCAAGCTGACGTCATAATGAGAGTGATCATATGATGTTCAAGGTCATTTGTTTGTGTTTTAAAAAAGGAAGCTACCCTACAACACTTATAGTGTAGGATAGCTTCCTTGTTTTGTTTATTGTTTATTTGTATAAAACATGAGGAATGACAATAACTTACATACTATTACAATTAATAAGGAAAACATGTGCGAACGTACGTATCTAGAGTGAGCGTCTGCTAAAGTGTAAAACGAATGAGTTTATTGGTGGCCTTTATAAAGGCCGTTTTGTGTAGTTCGGCGACGCTTGTGTACTTTGATGTTTACTTCTTCAACTCCTCTATTGTATTATGGAGCTCTTTCCATCTTGCCATGTCTGCAATGTGCTCGGCCCATTCGATGTTGTCTCGAGGCTGAGCGCACCAAACACGATCAAATTTGCGGCGAATCTCTTTCTCCTCCTCTAGCAGTTGAAGTAGTTTTTTTTCTTTTCGTTTTCGCTCTTGCTCTTCTGCTTCGATGCATGCTTGGTGTAGGTCAGAGTCTTCAATATCGCTTGTCCACTGTTGTTGTTGTTGTAGGTTGGCCATCTTGTGCAAAGTAAACGAGAAAGGTTGAGTTGACTGGTGAAGAGCTGGATGCGAAGTGACTGTTGCGTGTAAAGAAGTGCAGGTCCCTGACGAAGTGGGCGGAGCTAAAGCAGTAGGGGTGGGGGAAAGTAGTAGAGGTGGGGGAGAGCATCACGAGGGCATCATTCCATCCGTTTTAAAAGTATTTTGATTCTACGTCCCTTGTCTTGTGAGTGATGTTTCAGTTTTTCTTGATACGTTTTACAATTACATTGACAATAGGAGAAAGATTCACATTTTTTACAAGCCATTCCATCTACTTGACATTCAGGTGTTTTGAAACACTTAAGATTACAACAATAGTATTTTAAATCGTATTCCGATTTGTGATCAAAAGATGAATTGGAATTACACTGTGACATGTTGCTCGACTGAATTCTAAAACAAGAATGAAAAGCAATGTGTTGTGAGCTGCTATTTATAGTGCAAGAGTCAGCAGCTCTCATGCATCTGCCACAAGTTAGTCTACATTTTTCCATAGTAGGTTAACCATTTGTGTTAGATCGTGTATGTAATTTTGATGCTTGTCTTGATATGTTTTACACCTACATTTGCAATAGCCAACAGACTCACATTTTTTACAAGCTTTTCCATCAACTTTACTTTCAGGCTTTCTAAAACATTTTAAATTACAACAATAGTTTTCCAAATCGTATTTGGATTTGTAAACAAAAGGTAAATTGTATTTACGCTGTGACATGATGCTCGGTGAATTGTTGAAACAAGACTGAGAGCAACTGCGTGTAAGACCTGTTATTTATAGTAAAAAGTTCAAGGTCATTTGTTTGAATTTTAAAAAAAGAAACAACATATCAGCATATAGAATTAATTATATGCTGATATGTTGTTTCCTCTTTTAATTTTTTTATTTATTTTTTTAATGACAAAAACATTTAACAAACATATGTACATAGATGGTTATTTACAGAAAAAAACTTAAAACTAACATTGATGGGTGATGTGTAGAGATAGTTCAGTGGAATTGTTTCCGCAAACTCCGTGTGATACCAAATAGAGGGATCCTGGTTGAATACCTCGCAGGTCTTCGTTTTGTAGTTGCTGCACAAATCGTCTTGGAAGATAAACTTGAAATTTCGGTTCATCACCTGGTGAAAACGGTGCCTCGCTCAGTGATGCTAAAATTGCGTCTCCATGTGAAGTTTCTGTCTTCTTCAGCTCGTGAACGATGTAGTGTTTGTGTTCCTTCAATTCGTGACATTTCTTAGTACTTAGAATGCTGGATTTGGACTGGGTGTTGAACTGATCCACCAAAGACTGGAGAAACTGTTGTGAAGCCATTTTCTTGATTAGGACTACCCTGTGAGATGTTGCCTCTGCGATGTCTGGAGTAATACTGATGAGGATCCTGAGACTGTCCACTGTATTTATAGCACACGTTCCCCCCTCCACTGCTATTTCCTTCGTAATACTTCCACTGTTGCTGTTTGAATTTATTTTTGTCCCAATAGTGAAGAACTAGAAAATTAGCTAATCGGTATGCGTTTTGTAGTGCACATTGTGTTACTGTGCGATAAGAGTGATCTGTTAAAGTACAAATAGGTCCATAATTAATTTGATGATCCTTGTCCATTCTTATGTCGAAAA